GAAGTTTATCTACTATGGGATGGAGCCCACGTGCTGTGTTGAGATATGATAGTCCTGGTATGTAACCCTCACCCCTGGCAGAATCTATCGCTGAAAGAAGGTCCCCAAGGTCACGTAGTAGATGAGGGTCCTTGTTTGCAATTCTGGGAAAGGATTCTAGCCTGTCGAACAGTGCCTTCTCCAAAGCTTCTGGGGAGCCGTAGCACTCGTGTAGCCTGCTCCACACTTTGTCAAGGCCTAAAGAAGGGTTGTTAATATGGACCGCTCGTAAGCATTTTGCATGTTGTGACGATTCATCTCCCAACCATTTGATCAACAAGTCGAGCTCTTCACTAGCTGTCAGATTAATGGTAAATAATGTATACTTAAAAGACAGTGACAAAATACAGATGAAAGCTTATAAAAAAAAACTGTCTGAAGAGTTCATTGAGCTCAATAAGTTAGTGCTGCTTTATTTCAGGTGTGAGCCTAAGTTAGCAAGCTGCCAGGATTCCACTCAGAAAACTATGAAGTGGACTGAAGACAAAACTATACATGGAGCTGCTGTTGACACATGATAAAGATGACACCTATGATCAGTATTTCAAATGTGTACTAGTTAACATCTTTCCTTTTCAGGGTTTTATCTTGTTTACTTGTGTAAAGAAAGGTACAGTTTTCAATATAAAGCATTATGCAAATGTTATAGGTAGCTGTGCAGGGGAATGCAGGGGAATAGACAGCTACATTCTAAGGACATGCTGTGGTACAACCTGTCTACAATTGCAGGGGTCTTCATAACACACATCATTCCCTCCGACTTGTTCATATCTAAACTGCAGTCTGACATCACCCGGAAAGCTGCTGAGGAAAGCAAATAACCAAAGTTGTCCATTTTACTTTTTAACCTCGGGGTGTAATATATGTAGATGCAATATTTTTCTATGTGATTTTTGTATTGTTTTTAAATTTTTGTACCTATGTCTGCTTATTGGATGACTTCACTATGTGGAGTTCAGTTTAGTGACTACAATAGAGTTTACAGTAAGTGTACCAAAAGCAAGTGTACATGACCCACACAGCCTCATTAAATGTAACAGTAATGATGAGCATAGTCAAAGACAAGAATCTTACAAGGAGATTTTGAAGTGTACTTTTTTTTTTCTCATCTGCTCTTCTGTGTGCAATAGCTTTAAGTCTGGAGTAGTATTTTACCTTACCAGAAATACGGTCAATATCTGAAACTAGGGGTGTGATGATACACAATATTGGGTTCACAAGAATAAGATGAGACAATATTTTAATACTATTTTTAAGAAGTCTTAAATGACAAAATATATGACTGGAAAATTAATATTTTATTCAACTGAAATTCACAAAATGCAAAACACTGTAGGCACATTTTGAAATGTTTTAACTAGCCATACTGTAATCAGTGTCACTTTAGTTTTATTTTCTGAGTATGAATTATCATTTGCAGTAAAATACAGAACAATATACAAGCACTTCTCTCCTGTATGATTTTACATGAGTCTTTTCAGACCTTATACCTGCGCATGAACTATGCATGAGCTTCTAACTAATGCTATGTGTGACCTTCCATGCTATTTTAACCCTCACCACCACCAAACTGGACGGTGACATCATCCGGCAAAGGAGCTGTGTTGACCATTTCTGTATGGGGATGATGGGGATGTGGAAGCTCACAGACTCTTTTGTTTTACCTTAAATGCATGAACATTCACTGCTATTCACTGTCGAGTTTGGGCCACAATTAATTAACACACCATAATGACATGCCATGCATTTTCATTAATACTGGATGTTAAACAATGTTTCTTTATCTATCAGTGCCGAGGCACTGGTGGTAGAATTGGTGCTAAGGTGGAGTAGGCTATGTTAGCAGCATGGCTAACCAAAATATAATGAAAACGTACGGGCTGGAAATCTGAATGAAGCCACTCACTTCAACATGTCACAATGTGGCCTTATCATGCATGCCTATAACACTCCCCTGCAACCCCTCATCTCCCGACTGACTCAGCTCCATGGTGTTAAAACAGAGCAGGGAGGTGTTTTTTTGCCAGATTAATAATGTGAACGCAAGGTCACAC